GTGTTGGTGGGGAGCACATGTTAAAAATGCAGATTTCTAGACCTCTCCTTCCTTGGACCCTGATGTATCAGGATCTATGGGGATAAAGCCTAGAATCTGTATCTTTCACTAGCTCCCAGGTGATTCTTCTGCATGGATATGGTGGGAAGGACTCAGGCCACCTGGGGTCTAGTGTGAGCCAGGATTCCCATACTGGCTACAGGACCTTGGACAGGGCCTTGGTCTCCACAGCTGCTGAGCAAGGAGAAAACAGGGGTGGTTCTTGTGGGGCCTCCAGGCTTCCTCGTACTGTGGTCTCCAGTATCAAGAGAGTACCTCTTTTCCAGGCTCAGGGCACCATGACAGCCTTGAGCTTGGTATCCACAAGGGGTATGTTGCTGGGAATGAGTGAATGACATCTCATCCTGGAACAACAAGGATGGGAAATACATCCTTCAACAAGGATGAAGCCCTAGCCAGAGCCCAGGGCCCTGCATGCTGAGGGATGCCTCCAGGCTGTGCTGCAGGCTTGTGCGTCCCTCCAGAAGAACCTAGAAGCCCAGAGTACGGGATAAGGAATTAGCCACCATGGGGAGTGTAAATTAGTTCAACCATTGTGGAAGACAGTGTGGCGATTCCTCAAGGATCTAGAAATAGAAATACCATTTGATCCAGCAATTCCATTACTGAGTATATACCCAAAGGATTATAATCATTCTATTATAAATACACATGCACATGTATGTTCATTGCCACATTGTTTACTTACAATAGCAAAGACCTAGAACCAACCCAAATGCCCATCAATGATAGACCGGATAAAGAAAATGTGGCACATATACACCATGGAATACTAAGCAGCCATAAAAAAAGGATGAGTTCATGTCCTTTACAGGGACATAGATGAATCTGGAAACCATCATTCTCAGCAAACTGACACAAAAACAGAAAACTAAACACTGCATGTTCTCACTCATAGGTGGGTGTTGAAAAATGAGAACACATGGACACAAAAGGGGAACATCACACATTGGGGTCTGTTGGGGGGCTAAGGAAGGGGTAGCAGGGGGTGGGGAGATTGGGGAGGAATAACATTGGGAGAAATGCCTGATGTAGGTGATGAGGGGATGGAGGCAGCAAACCACCAAAGCATGTATGGACCTATGTAACAATCCTGCAAGGCCTGCACATGTACCCCAGAACTTAAAGTATTAAAAAAAAAAAGAGGAACTAGTCACTGTTTCACTAAGTAGGTCCTAGCAAGTGTAGCCATGATTTTTTTACTCTATCAGATGTGAATGGATGAGGGAAGAGGACTGATGAACAGCATGAACTTGAACTTATTTCTGAAGCCCTGGAATCACTCAGGATGTCAAGGTGACACTGCTCCTGAGGGACAAATGCTGACGAATGCCCAGTTCCAAAGAAAAATCGATTTGCCCTCTCAGAATACAATGTGTGATGTAATTCTAGGGTACATACTCTTCCCATGACCCAGCAGAAATGAGTGGATATGTGACATAATCCAATCTACAAAGGAGTGAGGGGTGTTCACATCAAAGGGATACCATATTTCAGTGGAATTTACAGTGGAATACATTTCAGTTTGCCTGAATTACACAAATAGAAATGAGTCATTATATATCCAATACATTGAAATTTCGCTGATAGAAATGTAGAAGTCACGTAATTTTTTTAAGGTGCAATTCTATTACTAATAACACACAGTCATGGTCAAACTCTTTAACTGTGCATCCCACATATTTATTTGGGCACCTACTATGTGCCAAAGGCTGCATTTTTCCAGTGTGTAGTCTCAGCTTTGACAAGAGTCCCCAAAACTGGGAGAAATGGAAAAGGAAACACTGGAGGGCCCTTTGCTCTTTCCTCTACAGCACATTCTTCTGTGTATCAAACCCCTTCTCTCAGTGAGACCCATTCAATAATTGAAGATAAGGTCTAACCTCTTCAAAATCTGTATGAGTTTGCCAGGACTACCATAGCACCAAAGTACCATACACTGCATGACTTAAACAACTGAACTAATTTTCTCAGCTCTAGGAGCTGGAAGTCTAAGACGAAAGTGTCACAGGGCTGGTTTCTTCTGAGGCCACTCCTTGGCTTGTAGACAGCCACCTTCTTCCTACATCTTCACAGTCTTCCATCTGTCCTCTGCCCCATGTCTGGGTCCTAATCTTTTCTTCTTATAAGGACACCAGTTGGACTGGATTAGGACCCACCCCAATGACCTCGCTTAACCGTAATCACTTCTTTAAAGGTCCTACCTCCAAATGCAGGCACAGTTTGAGAAAGTAGAGGACAGGACTTCACCATATCAATTTAGTGGGGGTTGGGCAGATGTGATTCAGCCCCTAACACATCACTTTGTGTTCCATCCCTCTTCTGGGCCAAGGAGGGAATGAAATGGGGGTTATTTAATGTTCCTCAGTTCAATCAGTCTACTACTTTTAAAGCTGGGCAAATTTTCTTTAAAAAGTAATTACATATTTTACACCCAATATCTTCTCAAATTAAGCTGTTTCACAGTGACATTCCATCTTTCTTTCTACTGGATTAACTAAACATGTCTTTACAAAGAGATTTCTTTCATCTGAAATAAAATTAAGATTTGATTTAAAAGGAAGAAGAAAATCATCTCATATTTTCAGTGGAATGTTCGAGTGGGAGAGGGGTCAGATGCATAGCTGGGTTTTGTGTCTTGCTTTGGGAGTAAACTGTCCCTTTCCTAACCATCACCACACAACAAATTTTTTACACTTTCTTTCTCATAGATGCTGCTTTAAGATATTGATATCTCTTAAATGTTTCAAAGATGATTTTGTAGTGCTGGTAACTGCTTTCATAGTTTTGTGCTTTTATTGATTGTTTTTCACTTCATGTTTATGCCTTAAGAGGTATTTCTAAGAAGGGCATAATTCCATAAATTGAAGTCAGAAAGAGACAAGTGGCAGATGATCAGAGGAATCAGCTCTTAAGCCACTGGAGTGAGGATGCCTCCATCCCTGTAGCAATTTATTTCTCCCAAGAATAAGCCTCTCCGCCGATCTCTACCTTGAAACGTGTATTTTTCCCCATTGCTGCTCTGCAACCTTTATTTGCCCGAGGATTCTCTGGCTGCAGCTTCACACAGAAGACTCTGCAGTCCTGTGCATTTGCTGCAAAACTGCCTTCCTCCACTGAGTTGATCTGGAGCCACCATCACTAGGTAATCTGTTGACCTAGTGGCATTTCATCCTGAATGGAAGGGCATTTTCCAGTGTATGAACTCACTCTGGTATGTAGCAACAGGAGAAGGCAGTTTTAAGGCAAATGGAAAAATCTGAGCTTTTCTCACTCTCCATTGGGAAACTTTTGCCTTTCCATGCAGTTACTAAAAATAAAGAACTCCATGCATCCTGATATAGAGCAGAGAAAAGCCAGAAAGAATTTATTTTTCCCCCAATTTTTAAATTGCGGTGAAATACACATTAAATAAAATTTACTATCTTAGCCATTTTAAGTGTACAACTTAGCATATAAAACGCATTCATAATGTTGAACGACCATCACCACGATTTATTTCAAGAACTCTTTTCCTCTTGTAAAACTGAAACTCTATACCCATTAAATACTAACTTCCCAGTCCCTTTTCCTCATTCTCTGACAACCACCAAGAATCACTGTATTTTTTATAAGGTGGAGTGGGTAAGTAAATCGTGCTTGCACAACTGCATCTTATATTCTGTAGAAATTAAAAATACAAATTACAAATAAATTAATTGACATGAGGAATTGCTTGTGATGGGATATTATAAGAGAATAATACAAGACAGCTATCAAAGTTAATATGCATCACAGTCCTATGTTAAAATCCATGGGGAAAATGGATAGATAAATATTTTCTTATTTATACATTTCTGTATTTTCCTGTTTCTGCATAGGGTCGCTATTACTTTTATTAAAAGGAAATTTTCAAAAAAAGTTTTAAAGAAGATAACTCTGTTCCATATTTACTCCTTTTAAACAATCATTTGCCAGAAAAGGTGACTTCTTATCACTGCTACGGCTTGAATGCATTTTGGATGGACAAGTGATCAATCTTGTGTGGGCCCTGGAGGAGAGGTGGTGACTTACGGCAGCCACGGTGGCAGGACAGCAGGGCAGTCCCTGGCGTATTTCATCCTCTCATGGCAGCCTTCTAGCGCATACCCAGGGACAAGCTCTAAATGTTCCAAGTTAGGGGGGAAATTTGAGTCACATTCTGACCAAATTAGATGATCCAGATTATTCCAGAGCAGGTTGTCAGGAGGTATAATTTCCAGAGACATTGAACTCAGTCACAGATAATGACCGAGAAAGAGAGAAAGAGAAAGAGAGAGAGAGAGAGAGAGAGAGAGAGAGAGTGTGTGTGTGTGTGTGTGTGTGTGTGTGTATATTACAAGGATACAGCCACATAGCCACAAGGGGTGTGTTGCTGGGAATGAGTGAATGTCATCTCATCAACATTCAACATTAGTGACTAATGTTTAGCCACAAACATCAACATCAACATTAGTGACAAAACTCTGATTAATTTTTGAAATCAACAGGAAAATGCTGAAATTTGCCAGCTCAATGGGAAAAACAGGTGACAAAGATCCTCAGTTGACATCTTTCTTAAAAAAGAGTAGCAGTGGAATGCAGCAGTTTCATCCCCACACCCTTCCCTGACTCAATCTCTCTCCTCCTCACTGGCATGTACACCCAAGGACAGCTCTGAATGACGCACTGCTCTTTCCACTCCTTTTCCTCCCCAAACCCAGGGCTCTGGCTCCTGCTTCCAGGGAACAGATTGATTATAGCCATGCATCTTTACATCTTGAGACAGTGAGCTTGGTGCTTTCACATAGAAAGGGCTTTAAATATTGATGACTAAATCTCAGGAACCCAAATAACATCCTTTCTCCCTCTTGTGGGATTTCAGGCACCGAGTCTCTGAAGGAAATGTAGAGCTTTATTAAACGCAGACCTAAATCAAAGTAATACCTAACACAAGCATTTTGGGTAAAAAAAATATTTTAACAGATATCTTTGCTACTTTAATCTGTTATGAGAGATCAATTCTTATAATTCCACTCTCTCTTAGAACTATAAAAATGGGCAGCGAAATCTCCATCTGTGACAGACAGCAGATGCCTTGTAAACTGTAACATCTTGGACAGTTTTTTAAGGTGAGAAAGTCCATACTGTAAATCTCGTTAATTCAAAAGAGGCTTCTACCATGACAGTCCTTTAGAGTAAGCTAAGAACAAAAGCTTCAGAGCCAGGCAGGTTATACGAGCTGTGAGATTTGGGGCAAGTCACCTACTGAAGCTGTAGTTTTCTCATTTCTAGGTATTAATATAAGAGCAGTACCTGTCTCATGGGGCTATGGGAAGGGTTAACTGAATCAGTCATTAGTCAGAGCCTGGTGTATGACACGCTGACAATATTAACCACTGTGCACCAAGCTCTTTTGTTCCTAGAATCTGAAATATTTCGTTTTATAAATATGACCTCTAATTTTCTTCCCTATTTCAGACCACTGACACTTTTTGCAGTTCTAACAACCTATACCAGCTTGTTAGATTTCAGAGAACCTCTTTCGCATCTTGAAAATGCTGTATGGCACGATTCTCCCTCTCTCTCTCTCCCCCTCTCTCTCCAGAGGACAAATTTTGTTGAAAATTGAGAGGAATTGCCATATTCTAAGAGACTGCAAACTTACAAATTGTTTTTGAAGTTGATAAAAGAATTAAAGCTGCAGTGTATGCTTTCACGTAACAGGTCCTAGTCATTGATGGTTAGATTGTCTGCTGCATTAATTCAATTTTTGACTAAATAAAATAAAATGCAATCACATCACAAGTAGGCCAGTGATTATGTTTTATGGATGGGTGCATTTTGCTGATTGTTTTAGAAGTTAGAAATGTATGTTACCTTGGTGAAGTCAGATTTCGCCTCTGTAACATCAGACTGGAGATTTTTAAGGGCAATTTGATCGCTTGTACTGTGGTAGTTGTCCCGTAATCCTAGGCAAAAGGAGATAATATTGCTACTTTTCAGTATATAAAAGGATAAAATGAAATATATAACTCTATATGAAATTTAATGTCACCTACTCACATATTCTATCAGCCAATAGTAAATCCAGATAGTCTAACTATGACAAAAATCTTACACATTTCTCTCATTTATTCCATTCCCTCCATTTAACCTCTCTGGGTTCTTTATTACTTAGTTTATTCAGCTGCAAGATTTCTTCTTCCATACAATCCCTTATGTTCCTTAGACTCAGTCATAATTGCATAATTTTAGCCCTATCATATTTGCCAGTGTCCCGAGTTTGTGCTCAGCAGAAGAGATTTCCCATCTATACATTTCCCAGCATCACTACAGGTAAGAATGGCTGAAATAGAAACTGACCTTCATTCAGCCTCTTAATGCGAACATTACCGGCAGGGTCATGGGTGACTCAGAAACTGATACAAAACTGTTTTAGACTCTCTGAGGATAATTTAGTGATAACATCATGAGATATTTTATGTAAAATCCCCCACATGTGCCTTTCTGTGAGTGTCTGCCACAGAGATACCTAAGGATATTGTTAGGTCCAACTGCACAGAGCAGTAGACTAAACACTGGAGAAATGGGGTTCTAGTCCTGGATCCCCCAATCACTGGCTTAATAACACTGGACACATCTACAGATCCACTCTTCACCTGAATTCCTCATCCACCACACCTGCCCTGAGTGCCTCATGGAGGCCTGCACAGCAGCTTTCTCTTAGATGCAACTCAGCAGCACTGCAGTTTGCCAGGGCCTCATGCAGACACAGCCCCCACAGTCTCTAGCAGTGACCTTTATCAGGTTGCTAATGTAGAAACATGAACCAAACACAGGGAGATGGTATGAACATGGAAGTAGGAAGCAAGCCCAGGAAGAGACCCAGTTTCTGCAGCCCAGGGTTACCACTCTGCCTCTGCAATGGAAATACTCCAGGGAAGGTGATTTTTCAAGGGGCTGTAATGAATGGCTCCCCAACTCCTAGTGCAGGTGATGAGAAAGAAGAGATTTATGAAAATAGTTCCCTAAACTAGAATCCTGCCTTTATCAGCTCATCAAAAAGGTTTATCAGAATTTTAGATATACAGTCACGTACTGCATACAACCTTTCGGTCAATGAAGGACTGCGTATATGAGTGGTCCAATAAGATAATAGAGCTGAAAAATTCTTTCACCTAGTGATGCTGTAGCCATCAGAACATCATAGTGTAATTATTTAAATAAGTGTAGTGTAGCCTAAGTGTGCAATGCTTGTAGTCTGCAGTAGTAGACAATGCTGTCCTGGGCCTCCATATTCACTCACCACTCACTCACTCGTCCAGAGCAACTTCCAGTCCTGCAGGCTCCATTCATAGTAATCGTCCTTTACAGGTACACCATTGTCTATCTTTTAGCCTCTATTTTTACTGTACCCTGTTTATGTTCAGATATGTTCAGATGCACAAGTAGTTACCATTGTGTTACAATTATTACCCACAGTATTCAGCACAGTGCATGCTATACATGTTTGTAGTAGCCTGGGAACAAGAGGCCATACCATACGGCCTAGGTGCGTAGGCGGCTGTACCTTCTGGGTTTGTACGTTCTACAAGGTTCACACACCAACAAAACCCCCAACCATGTTTCTCAGAACACATCCCCACCCTCAAGCACTGCATGGATGTAACTTAAAGCATTTTATGAGGAAAATAATGTGCTTTCATATTTTCAAATCTGGCAGATTTGCAAAGGGGTCAGGACATGGCTCGAGGGAATTTCAAGGGCTATCACTGACCTGTCCAAAGCTTGGCTATGTCTCATCTTGTCCTTGGGCGACAGTGAGCCCCATCAGCTCTAATTCAGATGTGGGGCCGTGCCTCCATCTATGACTGCTACTGAGTGACAGAGGCGGTTATCTAAGATGATGTGCACAGATTACTTTTCGTGAAGTACAAATATAAGGCCTGAAAGGTCTCATGGATTCCTGTGCAGAGATGATGCATCGTGATGAACTGACAATAAAGCTGATGAAGACAGAAATCACCTGCTCTGGTCATGTGGCTCCAGGTGTGGTTAAGAACTTTGGAGTCAGCACAGGCTGAGGTCAGACAGGTCTGGGCCTGCAACCTGCATCCTCAGGCTGACCTCAGTGGATGGGCTGCATACTCTGAGTTGCTTCTTTCATAAAAGGCAGGCAATAACACCTCCTGCAAAAATGCTGCCTTGTCATCGGTGCAATGAGAGTACAGTATGGAAGGCACTTGGGCAGAGTGGGGTGTGGGGTTCATTTTTGATAAATGATACCAGTTATGATTGGTAATGAGCAGGATCGAGGCAGCCCTCCCCAAGACCCAACTGGTTGCCATTACTGTGGCATCAGTGGTCAGGAAGCCACTGGAATCACACCACAGAGTTCCAGCACCTGAATCCCAGTTCTGGTTACTCCTGTGGCTTTGAGCAAGTTACTCAGCATCCTTTGGTTTCCCACCACGACATGTAGACAATGAGGGTACCTACTTCAGAGGGTTACTGAAAGAAATTAAATAACATAACCATCCCTTAGTGCAATGCTCAGAATATAACACCATCCAGTAAACACTAGCTCTGGGGAGGTGCCTCATCTCTATCAGGAAGGCAGAGGGACTGCCATGATCAGGCACACAAAGGCTGAGCATGAGCTGCCTGTGGCCACTGCAACAAATGACCACAAATTCAGTGCTTACGTAACCCAAGGGTGTTATTCTCCAGGTCTACCACAAATTCAGCGCTTACGTAACCCAAGGGTGTTATTCTCCAGGTCTAGAGGTCGGAGGTCCAACCTGGCCTCACTGGGCTAAAATCAAGGTGGTGGCAGGGCTGGGTTCCTTTCTGAAAGCTGCAGAGGAGAATTCTCTTCCTTGCCTTTTTCAGCTTGTAGAGGCTACATGCATTCCTTGCCTCACAGCCCTGAATCACTCAAACTTCTGCTTCCAATATCACATCTCCTTATCTGACTCTGACCCTTCTTCCTCCCTCTTGTAAGGACGCTTGGATTAGATTGAGTCCACCTGGAGAATTGAGGCTAATCTCCCCGTCTCAAGGTTATTAATCACATTTGCCAAGTTCCTTTGGCCAAGTAAGATAACATACTTACAAGCTCCAGGGATTAAGACATGAACATCTTTGTTAGGGGGTTATTATTCTGCCCACCATAGACTAGTTGGGGAGATGGAGGTAGATGTATTAGATGTAGTGTAGGGCCTTTAAAATAATGACTATAAAGTCTATATAACAACATGAGAATGTGCTTACAATGCTATGTTTATCAAAAGGAAAAAGCTGGGGCAACAGACTTTCCGTCCCAGAACCATGACCCAGTTTGTCCATAACCTTGTGGAGAAGACCCCGGTGCTGGTAAACACTGCTGTGACTTAATCAAAGCCTCAATCGGCCACATTTTGGTACCACCCCAAGGCTGAGCTGGTTCCTCCCACCCCTGCTGAGATTCCTAGAGCTATTCAGAGCCTGAACAAAGACAGTCACTAGTGCTCAGACTCAGCTTCTAACAGCTCACAGTTGAGAAAGCTGTGCTGAATGGTTTGGCGGCCACAGAGGTGTGGACGTGGTTTTACATCGGAGAGATCATAGGCAAGCACGGCATCATTGGTTATCATATTTGAAGACCAATCTTTCACATCTGATTATGTTTATTATTTGAGTGTTGTTGGCCCATGTGTGATCAGACTGCTGACTGAATAAAATAAGATTTGTTAAAAAAAAAAAAAAAGAAGAAGAAAAAAGCCTATGAACCATATGACAGCAACATTTATAAAATGTATGTAGGTCCTCAGGCTCTGCCTCTTGGAAACTTGACCCAAGACAGGGCCCTACCTCGCATTGCTGTTCAACAGCAAGGGCTCCCAAAATGTGGCCCCCAGACCAGCAGCATCCACATGATGAGGGCACTTGTTAGAAATTCACATTCTTGTGTCTCACCTACTGACCCGCAGACCTAGCAAATGAGGAGGTTTGAGGCGGCTCAGCCCTGTGCTTTAGCAAGCATTCCAGGACATCTGGCAGAGCTCAAGCCCAGGAGTATATGCTGATCTAAGAGAACTTAAGGTGGTGAGTCTGAAGCACCAGAAGAGGACTGGTTTGAAAACCACCCCATGACTTTTAGGAAAACACACCTAGTCTGTGGGCATGGGAATCTCAATGAGGCTTCTCGCCAGTGGCTTCAATTTGAATAAAACCATCATAGAAAAATGAAAAACAAAAAAGGTCATGAGAATCAGCATGCTTTTATTTTGAAATTAAAAACCAGCCTAGTCAACCACCCAAAATCATTCTTGGTCTATGACTCACTGTGTTAGCTGCCCAGCACGCCGGCCCTCTGTGCCCAGGGAAGGTGTGCACTCACTAGTACGTGTCAAGAGCTCTTCTCTCCTAAGATGACTGGAAGCACTGTACCCACTGCTGTCTCCATCAGCCTGAACCACACATCCAAAACCATTGCCCGACTTGAGCCCCTTCCAGAGAAGGCCACAACCCCCATGAGTGAGCACACCACAAGGCCCTGAGCCAAGACCTTCCGGAATCCATGTTTCCTCCCTGGAGGATGGTCTGTGCTTCAGCAACGGAAGTCAACCTAGCAGGAATTTATGCGGTGCTCAGGGTGTGTGAGGCCCTGGGCTGAGAGATAAGGTGGGAGAGATGCTCTCTTTTTCCAGGTACTCTAAGAGAAAGTCATGGCTTGGCTAGCCCGGGCCTTGATAAGCCGCAGACAGAGCCCTTCCAGCAAAGGGAACCGGGAAAAGTTGGTGGGAGGGAGGGGACACTTGACATGGCCTTGTCAGAGGGGATGGATTTAGGCAAAGGTGAACACAGTGGAGAGGCACAGCGGCACAGCCCAAGCTGCAGGCAAAGGGAAAGGCAGGAATGGCTTAAGATAAAGTATAAAAGTAGAACAATCCAGCCTCTTTGGAAAATAGCAAGTAGAATATTGGGT